TGTGCAATGACGTCAGCCAGTGCCTTCAGTACCCTCGGATGGAGCTCATCCGGGCCTGCCGACTTAAACGCATCCAGTTCCTCCAAGTGCCTCTGCACCATCTCAGGGTCTATGCATGGTAGTCTGGTGCCTTGCTGCTGCCTCTCTACAATCCCAGTGAGAGCCTTGTCCTGCCCCTCACTTAGGAACACTGAGGCAAAGAACTCATTGAGGAGTTCAGCCTTGTCCCCCCTGTCCGTCACCAATTGCTTCTGCCCATTTAGTAGGGGTCCTATTCCACCCTGGGCCTTCCTTTTACTCCCTATATATCTAAAAAACAATTTTTTGTTATCCTTAACTTGGGATGCCATCCTCAGCTCTATGGTAGCTTTGGTCTGTCTAACTGCCTCCCTACAAGCACGAGCAGAAGAGGTATACTAATACATAATTGCCCTTCTAATGAGGGCTTAGTGAGCAGCTGAATGCATTTCCACTTTTCTGCCATTGAGTCAGTGATGTAGTCCCAGGATAACTGTTCAGACACTTTGTGATGTCCCAGGACAAACTGTTGGCACATCTTATTCCATGAAGCTTTTTAAGATGCACCTCAGGATAATGGGCATAGATGTCTAAATGATTGAACTTGCAATCTTGAACTTTGATAAAATGGTTTATCCTGGGCCAAATGTGATGTCTATTTGTAACCTGAGATCCAAAAATCTTAATTTGGAATGACACTGTGAATGGCAAATAACTCACTAAGGGTCTGTCTATACTATAAAAATGACCAGAGATCAAGGTCAGGAGGTGTGTCTAGATGAGACACTTTACTGCGCTGCAGAGTAGACTAATTTACTATGCAGTAATGTGTAACTGTCTACACATGCAGGGCATTTACTGCACAGTAAATTAGGCTACTGCATAGTAAGCTAATACCTGTACAGGTACTAGATTAACTGTACAGTAGTTACTGCGCAGTAGCACTTGGGTCAGCTTAGGCATGGGGGGCCACAGGGGACAAGGAGCTCTCTGTCCCTGGTCCCGGCACTGCTCAGCTTCTGGCTCCCCCTAGGAACTGGGATCTGATCAGTGCCAGGACTGGGGAGTTTTCTGCCCCCTGTCCCGGCCTCCAGCACAAAACTGGCAGCTCCAGGGGGGCAGACGGGTGCTGGGATCTCAGCTCCCTCTTGCCCTCCAGAGCAGCCAGCTCTGCATCCTCCACATAGAACTGCTTCAGGGGGCAAGTGGGGTCTGGGGACCCAGTCTCTGCTCACCCCCCAGAGCAGCTCTGCATGGTTCCCAGCTCCCACTTGCCCTTTGAGCAGCCAGTTTTGTGCCGTGCAGAGGTGTTCTGCGGGGTGGGCAAGGGCTGGGGTCTCAGCCCCACTCACCCTCTGAAGCTGCCAGCTCTGCCCTGCTCTGGGGGGTAGATGGGCCGGTAAACCAAGCAGAGCAGCTGCCAGCGAATCCTGTGCCCCCCTGCCCAGCAGCTGCCCCACACCTCAAGACAGCTCGCAGGGATTTGCTGGCAGCCGTGTCTTACAATGGGCAAAGACGGCCAGGAGAGCTCTGCCTGCAGCAGGGGCAGCTGTTTCTTGGCCCAGTGCCCATCAGGTCCCCTCCCAGCACCCAGGCCAGCACCTGAGGGAGCCTGGAGTTCCCCCTGGCTACTGCAGGGGTATAGAGCAGGGCGGGAGAAGCCCTGTACAGGCCTGCTTTCATTGGGCACGTCTAGACGAGCGTGCACATGCCTGTTGTGGAATCTCAAACTCCAAATCGGTCCCACACACCCTACAGCCCCCACATCCTCCTGCACACACCCACACACCCCATATCTTCCCCAGACTCCCCTCCTGTAAACCCCACATCCCCCCATCATACACCCAGTGTGCCCAGCTGCCAGGCAGGATGAGATCTGCTGGCAGGAGATGTGGCTTCAGAGGCAGCTGTCCCCACATCATGGTTAGTGAAGGGGTCAGGGGGAGCTCTGATTTTTCTATAAGAAAACCAAAAGCAAACATCAAAGCTTATAGATATTTAGAATTCAGAATTTATTTTACTATGATGATAGACACTGCTAGGCTTCCAAATTGCTTCAAAATTGTAAATATATCAATAAAACATTGCCCAGCTGACCTCTCTGTCTCTATATATAGCGGTCTTTTGTTTTAATTGTGGAAGAACCTGGATTTTGGAGTATTTTAAAGAGTGAATGTGGGATTTTTTTTATCAGAGAATTTTTGCTTTTTAAATAGGAAACACCAGGATTCTTGTTAGTGAGGCAACTGGCAGGACCCAGGCAGAGAAGCCTGCCCAGGGCTGGCACCAGGGACCCAGCTGGAGGTGGCTGACCTGCTGGCCATTTGGGGCCAGGAGGACGTGCTTTGACAGTTCAAAGCAGGCCACCACGTCTTCCAGGTGATAGCTGCCCAGATAGTAGGGCACGGGCACACATGGCAAAGACCAACTGTGTAGCCACACCCTACAGGCAGCTGGCCCAGAGGTGCAGACAGCTCTGCTGCAGTGCCCATGTCACAGCCTAGGTGGCCGTGCAGTCCCCGCCCAGGTGTGCAGACATGAGGCTGCAGATGCTGTTGCAGGTGGCAGCAGGTCACAACCAGGCAGCAGCCCCCACTGCCAGACTGCTCTAGAGGGTACCAGAGACCACTCTAGGTCAGGGCTGCTGCAGCGTTTTATTACTGTCCTCTTCAAAGGTGAGAATCAGGACAAACATTGAGGGTACAGATGTGTACACCCCACTCTGAGTGCTACAAAAATGGCAGAAGTGCTGCAGCAATGTTTCTGGATGAAAGAGGAGTTTCTCTGTAGCGCCACGTTTTGATGCACCATTTGTAATGCCTGCACAGTTACAGTTAGGATTACAGGCAGTCTTTGGGTCCCCCACTGTCCCAAAAAGGCCCCAGTCTCCCTGCTGCTTGCTTCCCAGAGGGAGCAGCAGGGGACAGTTGATCAGTACTGCCTCTGTGCTCAGTGACAGCCAACTGCACCTACAGGTGCTGGGTTGTCCTCAAAAACACTACTGCCCCAACCAGGAGTTGT